TGTTCATAAAATTTGTGACATATCCCATCCTTTGTAGACCCAGTGTCTGGTAGCTATTGAGAAGATCTGGCTGTTAAGAGAAGTACGAAGGCTTTTTCTGAGCAATGTTTCTTGAGCCATGCATCCTAACTCGTGTATTGATTCAGGAGAGGTTTTTTGGTTGAGTTGTGTTGTAACCTGGTGTTGATTTTATAGACTCTCCGTGTGCTCCGGGAAGTTTCAGCTTACCTGGGACTCTGGGATGTCAGGGATTCCCAGTCATCTCCCCGGAGCAGCATTCTCTCCGTGACTGGGCTCTGATGTCTGATACCGCGTCAAAGGGCTGTCCTCCCCGACGTAGGACATCCCTCCTCCCTTCGACCCCCCTCACTTCTCCTTCTCTGTGTTTGGCATACAGAGAGAGTGCCATATATTTTAGTTTCTAACTTATAATTCTGGCTTTATTTATACAATAGAATCAATATTTTACAAAAATCTTATTTATAAGTCTGAAGTATATATGGCTCATACGCAACAGAACACCCTATTCTAGAAAAGCTCTGTAAGAAGCGAATGAGCTTGCCTTTTATTTGGCTGGATGGAGAAGTGGTTATGATATCAAAACCTTTTCACCTTCTTTGTTTTAAGTCTGTTTCTCTCTACCGGCGTATTAATGACCACAAGGGCAATGACCATTTCTGTCTTGTTCACTTTTGTATCCTCAACCCCTATTACAGTGCTGACGTGCCATACATCTTCAACCACTGTGTTTGAATGAACGCCTTGATGAACACCTAATACGTCCTATCTCTACGATGAGAGTAGGGAGGGGAGTCGAGGCAGATTCCTTGAGCACCTTATGATGCTTTATGTGCGAAAGAAGGTGTTGCTGGGAGCCACAGAGTGTTGTGGGTGGAGAGGCCTTCCCCTGTGTGCGTGTCTGGTAAATTGCCTAGGGAGATCTCAGAAGGGTCTTGAATCTCCAAAGTTGCAGTGACTTGTTAGGATATCTCTTCTCATTCTAAACTAACATTTACTTTTGCACCAATTTTTCATATTCATAATTTTGCTCTTCCTTTTAAAGAAGATTCTAAGACTGATATAAGTTTTAGGCTCCACAGAACCTGGCAGAGCCCCAATAAGAGGTAAGTTAATATTTTTTTGGAACTCCGTTTTTCCTCTTGTTACGTTCTTTCTTCCTCTGCTTCCCCACTTTTCACTTGCCTGACTCCATGCCTGCCTGTTGCTCCCATCCCCCTTTCCCGCCTTCTGCTGGTCTCTGAGTGCTGCCCAGGAGCCCGATGACTTACGTCATCAGCACTGCCTGCGGCAATCTGCGTTGGAACGTCTCTTTCACGAACAATGTGGGACTTGTAACATGGTGAATGTTTATCTCCCTCCCAGCTCTACAAAAACCGTTAACATTTTAGGGATTCTCTCCTTTGGAGAGTCCTTGTGACCTCAGGGCCCCACGTCCCACTCTGATTAGAGGCCTGAGGGGCATGTATTTCCTCCTCCTTCCCACTCATTTCCAGCGTATGAGCATATGGCCTACGTGTGCCAATCTCATGCTTGAAAGCAGGTTTTATTTTTTTTTAATTTTAAAAAAGTGATGCCAGCGGGCTGGTCCAGTGGCCCACTGGTTAATTTCGTGCGCTCTGCTTCAGCGTGGGGTTTCCCTGGTTCGGATCCTGGGCACGGACATGGCACTGCTCATCAGGTCACGCTGAGGCAGTGTCCCACATAACACCAGCAGAGGCACTCACAGCTGGAATATACAACTATGTACTGGAGGGCTTTGGGGAGAAAAAAAAAAAAGTTTGGCAACAGATGTCAGCTCAGGTGCCAATCTTTAAAAAAAAAAGGAAAGGAGTGATGCAAGGACCTGGAGACAGTTGAGGATATTCCTGAGGGTTTCTACAATATGGGTGTCCAGCAGCACGGGGGGAAGTGTATCCAAAGCCAATCTCGGAACCTAACAGACTGGCTTCTGTGTGTCTTGGGTTCCTCTGGTTCTTTACTCCTTCTCCAGTCTCATTCCCCAAATTTCCTATAATTTCTACAAGCTACCAGACTCCCTTTCTGCTTAAGTTAATAGGATTCCCTTTCTTTTGCTTGCATGCAAGAATCTGCCCAGTGCACTGTTTTGATATCTTAGAGAACTTCCATCCCAATCACTCTTGCTTTGTAGAAGGAGAAACCGAGGCCGCCGTGAGGGGCTGAAGGAGCTGCCCATTTTGCAGAACTTACCCTGGAACTGATAATCTAGTGTCTTAAAATCAATATTTTTCTGTCATTCAAACAAACCTAAGAGGCAAATGAATCTCTATGAATGAATCCTTTCTGGAGTAAGTGAACTATTTTATAAATGGGAATCCTGTTTACAGTGAATATTGCATACAAAGCTTTGCTTTTTTCCTTCTTGACAGATATTTTCAGTCATCTGTACAAATACTGAAGGACACTGACTGTCCTTGCTGGTAACATTGGGAGTAACAAAATGAAAATGTTTCCTAAAACCTTCTCTTTCTAAATCTCTTTACTTTTCTAACCCCTGTCACCTGATTGTCCCCCACTTCTCAGGACTGGGGGATGGGAACAGGAGTGGAGGATGACCTGGGCTCTCAATATTGGGAGGCAGATGGATTATCAATCACACACATAACCAAAGCAACAGCAAGGAACATGTGTAAGAGGGTTTAAGGAGAGTATTGATTAAGGGGCAACAAGCATCTTTGAACTTATGAGGAAAGAAGAACAGAAACTGGTAGCAGAGACAGCTGGTAAGTGTTCAAGGTGGCCATGTAAGAATTGAAAGGCAAATATAGAGCAAGAATCAGAAGAGTGGCACACCATGAACCCCAAGAGAAGAGCGTGCTCTAAGAAGGGTGTGGTCAGCAGTGGAAAGATCCCTAGAGGGCCACACAGAAAGAGGACTGAAGCAGGAGGACACATTTGGAACCTGCTATGGACTGCATGCTTGTGTCTCCTCAAATTCACGTGTTAAAACCTAACCCCCAGTGTGACGGTGTTAGGAGGTGGGGCCCTTGGGAGGTGATTAGGTCATGGGGTGGAGCCCTCATGATGGGATTAGTGTCCTTATAAAAGAGACCGCAGAGAGCTCCCTCAACCCCTCCACCACGTCAGGACACAAGGAGAAGACGCTGCCTATGAACCAGGAAGCAGGGGTCACCAGACACAGAATCAGCCAGCATCTTGATCTTGGACTTCCAGCTTCCAGAACTGTGAGAAACGTTGTTTCTAAGCCCCCCAGTCTATGGTATTTTGTTATAGCAGCCTGAACAGACTAAGACAGAAGCCAAGATAGTACTGAGGATCTTATCACGAAATGACTTTTGGGCATAGAAAAAGCAGAAGATCAGGATGAGTGGAGAAATAGAGATGCAATAGGAATGTGAAGGATAGGAACGCATGTAACTACTTCTTCTAAGAGACCTGCCATGGAAGGAGTGTTGGGAAATGGTATATTTAATCAAACAACACATATGGCTATAGATTCTTTGTCCACGCAATGCCCCCCACCTCTGAGGACAACCAAGAGTTGACCCACTGTGTTTAATAGGCCTCCATATTCTTATGAGACACATAATTTTAGCTGTGCTTCATACTGCATTTTAATAACATGTTGCCACAGTGAGAGACCAGCTCCCAGCCTCTAGGATGGCTGTAATGGCTTTTTTAAAACAATCATAACAAGCAGTGGTGAAAAGGTGGAGAACTTAGAATGAATACTCTCACATCTTGCTGGTGGGAATGTAAAACGATACAACGCCGTGGAAGACAGGTTGGCTGGTTCTCAAAATGCTAAACATAGAATTACCATATGACTCATGAATTCCAGTCCTAGGTGAATACCCCAAAGAACTGAAAACAGGTGGTCAAACTAAAACTTGTACATGAATATTTATAGCAGCATTATTCATAATAGCCAAAAGGTATAAACAGCCCAAATGTCCACTGACGGATGAATTGATAAACAAAATATGGTATATTGACACAACAGCATATTATTCAGACATAAAAAGGAATAATGAACTTCTGATTCATGCTACAATATGGATGAGCCTGGAAAACATTATGCTAAGTGAAAAAAGACAAGACACGAAAAGCCACATATTCCATTTATACAAAATATCCGGAATAGGCAAATCTATAGAAACAGAATGCACATTAGCAGTTGCCAGGGGCAGGGGGTCTGGCGAGTGACTGTTTACTGATGAAAATGTTCTCAACTAGACAAAGTTGATGGTTGCACAACAGTGTGAATGGACCAACTGTCACTGGTGTTCTATACTTTAAGAAGATTAAAATGGTGAATTTTATGTTATGTGAATTGTAATGAGACAAAAAAGCCAATTAGTTGCTTTTTAAAACTTATTTTGACCATTAAATCTTGAGATTACATAGTGAAGCATATATTTTTTAATCTAAAAGTTTCAAAACTATAGATTCTTGAACAGTCTCTAAATAACCTTCTAACCCCTTATTAGCCTAAAAAATGTTCGTCTGAGGAATTTCTAAATCATACGTGACTTTCAAATTGATTTTTTAAAATCATGATATAGTTGGCAAGCTCTTATTCGGAAACAAAGGAATACCGGACATTTTAAATCAGAATAACAGGATTATAGAGAATTATTCTGTGAGAACCAGAGGCTAAAGCCATTTTATTAAAGGGTCAACCAGCCCATGTGCCTCTAAATGTGCGTTTCCAAATTAAGGGTACGTGATTTACTGTCCAAGTTAATAATCAGAACGAGTGTTTACTTGGTGTTTTATTTACAATTTATGTCCTATCCTTTTTTTTTTCTTATTGAGGATTGGCACCTAAGCTAACATCTGTTGCCCATCTGTTTTTTTTCCTTGTTCTTCTCCCCAAAGCCCCCCAGTACATAGTTGCATAGTCTAGTTGTAGGTCCCTCTGGCTGTGCTGTGTCAGACGCCACCTCAGCATGGCCTGATGAGAGGTGCTAAGTCTGCGCCCAGGATCCCAACAGGCGAAACGGAAGCAGAGCGCGAGAACTTAACCACTGGGCCCATCCCACCCATTTTGAAGAAGGATCTGATGCATCTGTGTCATCCTTATGAATATGCTGCGCTGATCTTTTATGTTGTGTAACTTCAGGAGTGTTAGATTGCCCTCCCCTCAAAGACACACTCATGTCTGACATGCCGCTATTAGAGAATGTTGTTGATTTCTCCTGTTTTCCAGATTCTCTAAGAAAGCCTAAGCATTGCTGGAGATGGTAGAGCCTTAGGCCCTATAAGCATCAGCCACATGTCTCCTTGAGGCTCTGTAATACTGCAGGATTTGCAGCAGGGGTGGCGGTGGATACGGGCCCCAGGGCCCCCTCGATTCCATGCATTCCACGCTGGGACAGGGTGGCTGGACTAGCTCCCGGTCAACACCCTGCCCGGAGGCCAGCCTGTGGCTTCACTTTCATTGCTCCAGTCTGGAAAGGGGGTGGCTTTAAGACTGCTGGGTCTCCTGTTTGAAGCCCAGAGCTACACTGGTTATTTCTGTCTCTGGGTCTCCCTACACTCTCTCATTTGGGAGAAAGCAAATCTTGAGTGACCGGTACACCCTGAAGCACCTTTTCTTTGGCAGAGCGTCACGTCGTTTCGGGAACTGGCCGGAGAGACATAGCTGCAGAGGCTTGCCTTTCACCAGATCCTTCCAGCGACCCGAGCTCAGCGCCAGCCGGGGAACATGGAAGACAGAGCATAGCAGGCCGCTGACGAAAGTTCCTCACATGACTCACGCAGAAGCTCGGCCCCTCCTGGGCCTCACCGTTTCTGTGGAAAACATTCTCCAGGGCCCTTGGAAGGGGGATGACTCACGGCGGGGGGTATTTTTAGGAATCCGTTAACTCGCATTTAGCTTAGAGCAGCAGCCTCCAATTCGAGCGGAGCTGTGAGCCGTTACACTCACGCTGTTTTGAATGTTGTAATTTCGCCACGGTTTCTTGGTCTGAGGATTGAGTCATCTTCTCGTTAAGTAGCAGGGGAAAACAGAAAAAGCCTGTTGCTACAACAGGGCACTTGATAAGATGCTAAAGGAATCAATGCCAGTAACAGCGTTATATTTATCTTTACAGGATCACACCTGCTCACTCCAAGCTCCTCTCGTAATACTTGGTTAAATTTTGCAAAGTCACTCCTGAGCACTTTAAGGATGACATTAAAATGTGAGCACTGGTCTTAGAGGCAGAGTCTAATAAGTTAGGGTGCCTTTTTATACAGGATTGACTCCAGAAGGGGCTCATATATTTGTACCTTGAGCTTCAGACCGTTGGAAAGGTGCAAATTGGAATGGCAGGTGCTCCGTGTGGAGGATGTTAAAGCAGCTTGGGACTCCCTTCTCTGGAAGGTTGGGAATCTCTCAAACGTGTGTGTGTGTGTGTGTGTGTATATTTGCGTGTGTGTACACATGAACATGTCTAGGTGTGTGTGGGTATGTGTGTATGTGTTTTGTGAGTGTATATGTGTATATGTTTCATTTGTGCATATATGGGTGTTTGTGTGTGTATTTAGCTCTGTGTATGTGTCTGTTGTGAGTTCATGTGTATGTGTGTATATTTGTGCTTGTAGGCAGGTGTGCATCTGTATGGGTATTTGTGTGTTTGTGTTTTGATTTGTGTATACATATGTGTTTGTATATTTGAAGTGTGTGTATCTATGTGTATGTGTGTACACATGTATGTGTGTGTGTGTATTTATCTTTATGTGTATATGTGTATGTATTTGAGTGTGTATTTGGGTGAATTTTTGGATGTGTGTAGTACGTGTTTCCATGTTAGTGTAAGCATTAGGATGTGTATTTGGGTGTCTGCGTGTAGATTTGTTCGTGTGTATTTGTGTGTAGGCATGTATGGTATGGTATGTGTTTTGGTGTGTGTGTGTGTATTTGGGTGTGTATGTGTGTGGTTGAGTTACTAAACTCCTATTCCGGTTAAGCATGCATGGGTCCTCCCAGCTGCTAGTGGGTGAGTGAGCAAGTGGTTTGCAGAGTTTTTAAAGCTGAGTGATGGAATCTTTGTTTCAGTTGCAGGAAAAGGAACTTCTGCTATCAGTTGCCCAGAGAGTAACGGTTCAGCTCGGTGTGGGCTTACTGCAGTGGCGAGGATTTCTCATCTTCCAATAATGATCAAAAGCCAAACAAAACAAACAACGAGTGAATGTCCAAAAGAAACAAAACAAAACACTTTGGTTGACATCCTATATCTTTCACTGGTGCTGCTTTTCTCCTGCACTTTCCCACTGCCTGATACTTAGCTGACTTTCCTGCATTGGTTTGCCTCTATAGACAAGCTCTAACCATCCCTCCCTGGACGTGCTGACTAATTCTCTACCTGGCTTGGCCCGGGGTTAACCCACATTCATGAACTTAAAAGGCGATTCTTCTCCAAGTGGGCCTGTGACTGCCTAGAGCGCTCCCAGTGGTATTTCACAACCTCTGCCTTCCTTACCATCGGTCTTATTGAAATAGATGGTGCCTTTCCACTCCAGCAGGGAGCTACAACCACCGACTTTAGAGAGTAAATTGGAAAGTTGATGTTTCCTTTTAAATAAGCAAAGGATAGCCCATCCAGCTTAGCCAAGAGAGAAAACCAGATCTCAAATTGCATCCTGAATTCAAACCATTATAGCACCGCTGTTTGCTAAAAAAGAAAGAAGAAAAACACTGCATAGAATTCTCACATTGAAACTTTGACCACAGTTTTCTCCATGTTTCATTGCAGGTGAAAAGCAGAAATAGCATATGTTCCTTTTGACAGTATTTGTGGCCTGGCTAAAAATGAGGAAGTATTAGATAATTCATGCAAAATCTTATTTTGATGTAATTTCCAGTCATCGCTCTAGACTCAAAAATATTTGGCTAACCTGGAGAAGCAGCTGAACCCCAGGGTAATAATTTTATCCAAAATGGTCACTATTTAAGAACTACTAATTATTAAAATGAACTATCCAAATATAATTTTATCGAGTTATAGTCAAATACTCCCATTTAGATACAAATATAAGAAAAAAAAAGATACTTTAAAAATATTTACCCTTTATTTTTCATAGGTGTAATGTCAAAACTGCCTATATAATTAATTTAGTCACTCTCTCTTCTCCTCCAGATTCCCACTAATTATCTATTTCTGCAAGGCATATGGATATGTGTGATATTCTTCCCTAGTACCAGTAGAATGGCCAGGAGTTGATATTTGTATGTTTTCCCAGTTACTATTGCCAAACTCATGAGTGAAGAAAAAAAAAAAATTATGGCCCTGAATACACAATTTTAACCTTATGTTATATATAAAATATAGCAGTCAATGTGATGTGTTGTTTTTGTACAGGAATGAAAACATTTGAAAAAAAATCTTTAAATAGACTTGTAAGTGGAGGGTACTTGAAGTCAAGAATAACATGAAACTTACTAACTGCTTCAAGTTGTATTTCAACTCAATGATTCAAAACCTCTGGGCACCATTTTATTTTTCCTCCATCACATGGTAATCAAGGGTAAGAACATACTTTTACAGCTGGAACATTCTATAAGGTTGAAGTGATGCAATCTATGAATTACAAAGACCCAGACTTTAAGAAACTCAAGAGATTGACTTCAGATTTTCTCACCACTGTCTCCCAAGGGTCCATCACTCTGCCTGACAGAGTTCAAGTGCTTCAGAAGCACTATTGTACAAATGAAGGAGGACCACTCGGGCTTTAAAAACTCTTCCCCTCCCTCCCTAGGTATTTTCCGGAGAAGTCAGGAGAGAAAAACTAACTCAAACCTGCCGTGTAGGTTTGAAAGTTCACCCATAACTGTGATGCTCAGTCATCACAACTTTTAACATTTTACAATATATTCTTCTGGTCAAACTTAGTTTTCATTTACCAAAGCGGGAGTATATTGTTCTGTTTCATAACTCATATTTCACAATGACATCAAGCTACATTACAAAAAAAAAGGCATATGGTCTAGGTAACATTTGCAGTTTGCTGTAAGTGGTAACACTTTCTGGATTTTACCTTTATTTCAATGGAGAGTCTATTTTTTATCAAGGAGTCCTCAAGCCCTCCAACAGCCAGACGTGGCCTCTATGTTTTCCAGGAAATGCCTCTTGTTCTGTGAAATGTCCCCTCATAATTCCAGGAAAGTCTCATGTCTTACCTCAGGCTGCTATAACAAAGTACCACAGACCAGGTGGCTGAAACAACAGACTTATTCCTCATAGTTCTGGAGGTTAGAAGTCCAAGATCAAGGTGTCGGCTGGCCTGGTTCCTGGTAAGAACCCTCTTCCTGGCTTATAGATGGCCGCCATCCCGCTGTGTCGTCACATGGCAGAGAGCACGAGCCAGCTCTGATATCTCTTCCTCTTCTTATAATGGCACTAACCCCGTCATGAGGCCTCCAGCCTCATGACCTCATCAGCCTCATCAGCATCTCCCTCCTCCAAATACTATCCCGTTGGGGGATAGGCTTCAACATCTGGGTTTTGGGAGACATGAACATTTAGTCCACAGCACCTCATCAGTGTGGACAATAAAATATGCAGGTGCTTATTAGCTGTGAATTTATTTGAAGAGAGGAATTATCAATCCTCCACCTTCAACATGGAACAAGGAAGCAAATAAATAGCAAGATAAATTTCACCAGAAGAGCACAAGTCTTTTACACATAAACTTTGTGTTTAGCGTAGTCCCTGACACTTAATTGGGTCTCAATAAATAGTTTTTGAATCAATAAATGAATAGTGCTGAATCTCAGTGAACCTAACAAAATGTTATCTATAAATTCCAATTAAGCTAACTCAATGATTTAACCTGGTGAGTAGGTTTAATGTTTTTTGTTTCCATACTAAAAAGTGTCTGCTAAAAAATGAGAGTGTTGTTTTAGCACAATTGACATTGAACAATTCCTGTTGACAATAAGTGGTCATTAACTTCATTTACATCTTGAAACCACTGCTTGTACAGAATCTAAGATTGTATCATTGGCATGAAGAAAAGTGATTCTCTTCCAATTTCTCATATTTATAAATGGTATTACAACTTTGGTGAAGTATTGAAAATGCGAGTAGACTAAGAACATGACTGAATTCAAAAGCAGTCTCCTTCAAAAGAGTGGAAGATGTGGGGATAATAGCTATTCACCAACTCTCTTATTTTCATCAATACATTTTTTAACATACACAATCCCCAGCTTTCAAATCATTTCTTCCCAAACTCCTAGTGACTCAGGATTGCCCATTTAAATAAGTGCGAGAGAGTACTTACGATAAAAAATCAAATGTTCAATTATGAATTGTGGTAGAAAAAACAGTGAGCTATAAATTTAACGTGTTAAAAAACTGTTTTGGCCTTGTCTCTAGCTAAGTTGTATGGTTCTCAAAGACTTATTTTGCCTTTCTGGAAATTATTATTATCTGAAAATGAGAGTTTGGAACAGGTAAATTCTGATTATTTTTTTACTTGTTAACATCCCTGATTCTTGACCGCTCAAGGTTGCAATCAACTGTGACAGGTGTTAAAACCAAGGGGTTTGGGGAGGATGTCACAGATGCTTCATATATTGGTGAGGCAGGATTTCTAATGCCAGAGAGCAGTTAACTACTCACTCATCTCCTTTTCTTCTTGGAAAAATGGCAGACCACATTGCTCAGGCTTCCTTGCTGTCATGTGACCAACTTACAGCCAGGCAAATGTGATTGAAGTGAGGCACACGCTTTTCACGCCCTTAGTTTTTAAAATAAAACTCTCTCATGCACAGAGCTCAATGCTTTCTTTCCTTTAAACCCCTCGATGCCCACAAGCATGGCAGCCTTGAGAGTCTTGAAGTGGGTGGAGCCATAAGATGTAAGGACCTGGGTCTCAGCATCACTGCCTGGAGGAGAGCCACCACCAACTAAGAACACCCATTTCTGTACGTTCCCTGAGAATGAAACAGACCCCTATCACCGTGGTGTCACCTTGTGACTGTGTGTGTGTGCTTATCACAGAAGCTAGTGTGACGCTAGCTAGTACACCCTTTTTCCAAAGAACCGTGGAGATCAGGCTTGCCACATTTAAAACTGACTTCAAACCTGCAGTCAGGGAACAAGCATAGAACTCCATGTAGAAGACTCAGACAATGGCGTCCACCTTGATGGGGAGTTTAAGCTTTGTTAGAGTTAATGGCTAAACCCAAGAGGTTTAGCTTTTCTTACTTCTTTCTCTCTTTTAATCTTGTGAAACATTGCAGGGCTGTCATGCAGACAGCATACAAATTATCTCTGAACATATGTTTGTGTGTCAATTTGTTCTGCTAAATTTAAGTTAGCACATCCCCTTAGTTCAATATTCAGAGAACTGTCTCCTGACCTGTGTCTCAGAAACAGCCGAGTGGTTTGATTTACACGGTGCTATTTCAATGCCTGGGCACAGTCAGACAGAAGAGAAGGAAAATTCAGTCCAGAACAGGAGGGGCTTCCTCTGCAGGAAGACTGAGCTGAGAGTGGCTTAAACAATGCCATACCTAGGTGGCTGTTCTGTCCTCTGAACCTGCTCACATTTTTTTTTTTTTTAAAGATTTTATTTTTTTTCCTTTTTCTCCCCAAAGCACCCCGGTGCATAGTTGTATATTCTTCATTGTGGGTCCTTCCAGTTGTGGCATGTGGGACGCTGCCTCAGCGTGGTTTGATGAGCAGTGCCATGTCTGCGCCCAGGATTCGAACCAACGAAACACTGGGCCGCTGCAGCAGAGTACGCGAACTTAACCACTCGGCCACGGGGCCAGCCCCTGCTCACATTTCTTGCTTGTAGAATAGATGCGTGGGTTTCCTAATGAAAAGGGCCTGGGGAAGATGAACACTTTGATACTGGTGCTCTGACAACTGTGTTTTCCAATTATCCACTACATGGCATTAGCAAGAAGCATGACGAGGAGAAAAGGATACAAAAGGAAAGCTTCTCTCCTCTGCTTGAGTTCAGGGAATCTGGTCTGTATTACTGTTTCTATTTCTCCAGATTTCTCTCAATTAAATATTGCTTCTGCTTCAGCCCAGTGAACTGCTGCTGAAAACGAGGTTTTCACAAGTCCTTGAATATTTGAAAACTAAGTCTCTCTAAGTGTTTGCTGTGAAAATGAAAGCCCATAAGAGCAGAAAATTCTAGATAGAAAAGAGTGATGAGCTTTGCTTTGATCCTGGGTGGTGAAATTTCTATAGTATCTGCTTTCCTGGGTAAATGAAGACTTGTCTAGATGTGCATGTCTCTGGAGTGGATTAAGTATCTAGATACAGGATCAAAACACATGGTATGGAGGAGAGGGCAGAAGCCTATTGGTCCCTTGACTTGAGATCTAGTATTCATTATGCTACTAGCTGCCTGTGCAACCTCATACATGTCAATTCTCCACTCGCGGCCTCGTTTTCCTCATCTGCAGGCCAAGTACGTTGTAATAGGTACACAGTGGAGCCTTTTCCAAGAGCACCAATAATTATCAACCAGTGGGTGTTTGTTGAGTAAGGAGTTTATGCTCTAGGAGGTAATGGAAAGGTTCATGGTTCTATCTTGCAAGGATGATCTTTTTCATCTGAAATAAAATTTCCTTTAATACAAATACCAAGCTATTTGAAACTTTATTTGGTTGAATTGAATTATCCAAACCAAAAGGTCGACCAAATAATTCAATTTGGTCAAAAGCTTCATTGGTTCAGACACCCTATCAGCCACCCTGCACTGTGATCCATGTGCAAACACGTAGTAACAACAATGCTGGTCTAGGAGTCAGAAGATACTCTATTTATTTGAGCACAGAAGGTTTTGAACTGCCAGAGTTTTATATTAACATAAATAATTTACTCTTACAGAAAATAGATTTTATAAGGTAGTCCTCAAACAGTATAAATTAATTATCAGTGGAGAATAACCATGGCTTAAGTAGAAGAAAAGGAATAATGAGAAGGAAAATGGAAGCTATAAGAAAAGATGTTTTAACTGTACAAGTTTTCAAGAGGCCAGTTCTGGAAACAAGGATGCTTGATGAGTTTCCTATTGCTACTGAGACAAATTACTGCAAATGTAGTGGCTTAAAACAACACAAATTTAATAGCTTACAGTTCAGGAGGTGAGAAGTCCAAAATGGGTCTCCCTGAGCTAAAATCAGTGGCCGCAAGGCTGTTCTCTCTGGAAGCTCTTGAGGGTCTGTTTCCAGCTTTTTCCAGCTTCCAGGGCCAGCCTGCATTCCTTGGCTCCTGGCCACATCCTCCATCTTCAAAGCCAACAGTGTAGCACTTTCCCCTCTCTCCTGACTTTGACCCTTCTGCCTCCCTGTCCTGCTTAGAAAGATCCTTGTGATTACAGTGAACCCCCTGGACAGTCCAGGACAATCTCCTCACCCCAAGGTTGGCTAATTGGCAAACTTAATTCCAACCACAAGCTTATTTACCCTTTGCCACGT